CCCCCCCCCCCCCCCCCCCCCAAATAAAATTCGTACCTTCCCAAAGAGAAGAAAAATTAGAAATGTTAGTATCTATTGGGTCGAATCCCCTTGAAGCATTGAATCATGGGATACCTAGGGGAAAGCATGCCGAAAGGCATCTTCATGCCAAAATTATCAGTAAACAACTTGTTTATATATTTTTTGAAATACGAAGCGAAAGTTTCATGTGTGGACCAGTAGACTTCTGTTGTTAAGATATATTTTACAGAATGAGATTACCATCTCGCATTTTGTTTCATTTCTTACATCTTTCTCAACATGCAGTTTGAGGATTACAAAGCCAAATGCGAGAATCTTCAACAGCAGTTATCCCAGGTCAACGAGAATTACATTTTCCAACGAAGTCAGACGAAGAAACTGTCCGACAAGCTGAAGTCTAGAACAGAAGAAGCTCAACAGTATGAAATCCTTAAACAACAATGCAGGGAAAAACAGTATCAGGTCAGTAGGCGAAAGGTTTAGGAAAAATGAAAACAAAGAAAAGTTAGGGTTTGTTTAATCACAGCTAAGTATTATGAAAGCTGGCTCAGTCTTAAGCTTACTTGCTTAAACAAGCCTTGAAATTAAAACTGGAATCAAGAAGCGAGGCCAAGTTCTGCAAAAAATGGGGAAATGGACATGAAAATTTAAAAATCCAAAAACTGCGCCACATACTTAACGTTTATGCAGACCCTTTGTTCTAAAGGTCCAGCTCGGCTTTTATCATCCATCACACACAAAGTCAATAATGCAATGGCCTGAAAATTTAGAATTTTTTTCCTTAGAATGTTATTATACTTTGGCGTTTTGAAAATTGCAAAACTGCGCCATAGATTTGACCCTTCCAGAAATGCTCAACGTTTGTGTGGACTCTTTGGTTTGAAGCTCCAGCCCTTTCATCATCCCTCACACACAAAAACAAATGAAAGACCCTGATAATTTATAATTGTTTTCCTCATTATGCTTCTCGTCAGGTTATGGAATTAAATTCCTTACTCGAAGACAAGACAAAAGAACTTGACGACGTGAAAAACTGGGCAGAAGCCTTGAAGAACCGCTACGACACAGTCCTTGAGGAACGAAACGAAATACTCGTCAAACAGCACACAACGGTAGAGAGTCTGTCCCGTTCCCAAAACAACATCACCGATTTGAAAATCAAATTAAACAGATTGACACGTGAGCTGACAGAACTGAAAAAAGAGCGCGAAAAGCTCGACAAAGAGGTCGCAATGTTTCGCAACCAAGCTAAGACGGAGAACGAAGCATATCTAAAAGCAACTGAAAAAATTGAAGAGACCAAGGCGTACTTTAAAGAACTTCTTGAATCGAAAGACAAGGACTTGAATGGGACAAAAGAGTTGGCCGATTTTTATCACAAGCAAGTTGAAGAGCTCAAGGGAGACTTACGTCAGAGTAAAGAGGAACTTGACATTACTTTGAAGGACAATGACGACCTGTTGTCGCAGATAAGCAAGCTCAGGGTGGAATTTGACATGACAGTTGAAACACTAGAGGAAGAGGTGACTATGTGTGTGATTCTTTCTTTAAAGAAATAGCCAAATTTTATCAAACCCTGAAACAACCCTTTGGGCTGATCAAAGTCAGGGCATGGCTAACTCACAGATCGAACCCTGAAACAACCTCTGGGCTGATCTAAGTCAGGCCACGACTAACTCACAGATCGAACCCTGAAACAACCTCTGGGCTGATCTAAGTCATGGCACGGCTAACTCACAGATCGAACCCTGAAACAATCTCTGGGCTGATCAAAGTCAGGCCACGACTAACTCACAGATCGAACCCTGAAACAACCTTTGGGCTGATCTAAGTCAGGCCACGACTAACTCACAGATCGAACCCTGAAACAACCCTTTGGGCTGATCTAAGTCTGGGCATGACTAACTCACAAATAGAACCCTGAAACGACCTCTGGGCTGATCAAAGTCAGTGCATGGCTAACTCACAGATCGAACCCTGAAACAACCTCTGGGCTGATCAAAGTCAGGGCATGGCTAACTCACAGATCGAATTGAAATTGAGCGCTTTTTAGAATACACAAGATGTGCTTGTCACTATGGTGATATATAAAAAACCAAGTCTAACATGGGGGTTCTGACGTCACAACACCAAGAATAACTACATACCTGACAACCCTGTTCTAGCCCTAGTAACCTAAGGTAGCGAGGCCACGAAAACACTGCGATAAAGCCAAAGGTTCTAAAATAGATCTTTTTTGCTTGGCTGTAATATTTTACCCATTTCAGACCACTTGTCATTATTGTAACGCATTAGGTCTGCTATAAGAAACACAATCATGATACTTCTCGTTCCATAGATTAGTAAGTGGGAAGAAACAAAGAGTAATGAAGATGAAATACCAAAACGTGCTCAAGAAAACGAAGACCACGACTCGAGTGATGGTAGGGCCACTAATGGCTACAACTGGAAGAAACGGGCGACATCTGACCTGTTACAAAGCATTAGAAAAAGGTTTAATAAGACGTAAGTAGGTTATGACACTGTTATTAGGTGACTTATTACGGTTGTTGTTGATTAAAATGAAGTGATGTTGATGATGCTGATGACGATGGTGTTGTTGATGATGCTGATGAAGATAGTGATGGTGTTGTTGATGATGCTGCTAATGATGACAATGGTGGTGTTGTTGATGATAGTTTGATGATGTTGTTGTTGATGACTATTTGATGATGGTGGTGATGACAATGGTGGTGTTGTTGATGATGGTTTGATGATGATGGTGTTGTTGATGACTATTTGATG